AAACACAGTGATGAGACTGTGAAGGGGTAGACAGCAAGAAAAAAGCTATTTAAGTCCTAATAAGAGTTAATTAATTCACTGAGGGGAATTAAGACTTTACATGCAGCAGAAATAAGTAAGAAAAAGAGTTCAGATGGTCCATAACTTAGAAATGTAATCATGTGCCTTTTCAAGCACGTGAGCAATTCCATTAAACTAATCTGCTTTAATTGCATTAAGCTTAGAGAGACTACTCGTACGCTTAAACTCAAACATTTGATTAATTATTTCCTTAAAAGAGGGCCCAGCCAAGAAGAATGGATAATGCAAACAAATGTATGTATGCATTTAAATGTTTCAAGCTATTTGATTCAGCATTCTATAAACAAAAACATTCAAATTAGCTTTTTGGCGGAAAATCTGTTCCCTGGATGCAAAACATTCTCAGAAAGCACAATCTGAATTATCACACAAAATTATTCTGCTGAGAGCCAATAGCTAATCATCTAATAAAAGGTTCAAATATAATCAATCACAGCTAAGTGAAACAGCTCATGTTCTATACATGTGTTCGATATGCATCAAAAAAACAATACAAAAAGCATGTTTTTAAGTAAATTCAAGTAATACATAGGAGCTGATGATAATTTTTTGCTCAGCTCTTACCGGTAAACTGCTCTTGCAGAATTAACGTCTCAGACGCTAAAAAAGTGACTGTTTTCACAAACACACAAAAATTCCTACAAAAACCAAATACTTACTGTCCACACTGTCACGGGAGTCTCTTTTGCTTTAATTAACATCTCTGATCATATACTGATTAATTAATTATATTCATTTTGCCTTAAATTATTGGGTATTTTGCAGTTTATGTATCATATAAACTTATTCTTTTACGCTGCTTCTTCAATTTATCCTATATTTTATTTTGGGGGTGCTATTATTATTTACTTTAAACAGACAAACAAACAGACATGCCCACACCAGTATCTCTGAAACTAGAATAAAATATTCAGCAAGATGCTGTCTGGTATCTCTATTGTGACAAGCAACATCTGAACGTGAAGAGGTCAATCAGCCCATAATGTACTGCACTTTGTTCTGAGCAAAATGTGAATGGGGAAGATGAATAATAAATTATTTTTATGATAAAAAAGGAATTTTGTTCACAACTTCCTTTTCTATTTTGGCTTTTAAACACGAAGTTTGACGGACGCTGCCTTCAGAGCGGAGCACTGGCTCACCCTGATGCTTTTTCTGTACTCGCATTTGAGTCAGCATTTGAGAGGACCTGTTGCCATATGGAAAATCAGGAACGATTACTCTAAATAATTACCTCAGTTTATTACTGTCTGTTGCCAAGAGAAACAAGCCTTGTTGGTAATATCCACTTGCGTTGCCAAGTAACTTAATCTTTAGGGAAACTAAATACGCTCCAGTACTAGCACTTCTCTAACAATAAATATCCTTTCTAACTGATATCATCATGGCTCACAACCGCATCTTTGTTCTGACAATTTCCTAAGCTAACCTCTGCTCAGTCATGGGTTGACGGCCTCAGAGGTGTGAATTATCACACCTGGCTTGAGCCGTGCACAGAGATGGTATCTGAGTACGAGCCGGGCAGTCTAGGCTTCCCTCACAGTCACAGGGAAGACATCAGAACTTTTAAGGCAAGTGAGATGAACACTTAACAGACGAGATCAACTGCACGGTAGAAGCACCCATTTCTCCATTGATCAGGAGTCCAGGTGGAGGTGTCAGCTTTACTGAGCTCTAAAGTTAGGGGAGATGAACCCAGGTCAGGTGCCCTCCCATCCAGGCTGCCACTGGAAATGGAAGCCAGCCCTTGTCAGCATGATTAAACTTTTCCTTTGGCAAGAGGTGAGCCTGATGACGAGCCTGTTGCGTAAAACCTGTAGGCTGGGATTTTCAGACTATAGCGGCTGTTCATACTTGAACTCAACAGCAGCCGCGAGTGTGAGGCCTCTTAGTCAGGTGCTTAAAAGCAGATATAAATACCGGCCTCAGTTACCGCGGAGAGCAAGCTGGCGCTGGCACCTCCCTCGCGCTTCCGCCATGGGCACTTCGGTCGCTCTCCAGCCAGTTTTGCCAGGCCTTTCAGTTCTTTATCACTTGTAAACCTCGAAACCCTGCTGTTGAAGTGCTATCATCCAAATTGTTGCAGACAGCAACTTACTGTTTCTCATTGTGCCTTCCACTTAAATTTCATTCCAGCTTGAAAAGACAGCACTGAAATCCCTCTTTTTTCCCCTCTCAAGTTTATTAGATTGATCAGGCTTTCCCTCCACGGCTCCTTGCGCTGCAGTTCTCATTTTCTTTTGTCTTTGGCTTTCTGAAACCGTGAACACAGGCCTAAAAAAAACCCCACTTCTGCCTTACGTACCACTTCACTGCAGCAAACAACTGCAGCGTGGTGACAAAGTGCTTTCTTGTCTCACCAAAACCACGTTGTGCCATTTCAATTCAGCTGAGTTTCTAAGAAGTGCTTGATAAATTCTTTCTAACGCATTGCAGTTTCGCCCGTAGCTAATATCAAACGAACTGCACTATTCGGATGGATGCCTGACAGGCCCTTTATTTAAGGCTCATATTACACAAAGCATTTTGCAGACTTCAGTGATTCCTCCCCTAAGCCAATTGAACTTGTTAATTCAAAAACTACCTTGTAGTCCTTGCTGACAGTGACTTGACAGAAACTACAGAGCTTATTGCGTTTTTCTGGTTTCTCTGTGCTCTCTGTCACTGATTCGTTTTGCTGTACTTATCCACTCTCACATGTTAACAACCTCTAATCAACATCCAGGATCCTTCAGTGGTTGGAGGCACGGGTTTTTTCACTATGAAAAACATTTCCCGTGCAGCTGCCAGAACCCTCAGAACCCTCCTTTGTTTTGTTCTCTTCTTTTTTGGAAAACGGTACCCTGGACAGAACGATTTCACACTAGACATACAAACTTCTCACCTGTATAAGGAATACTGATGACAAGAAAATGAAATCCAGTGTTACAAGAAAAATTTTTTTCCAACAGGCCAGTTACTCTCTCCATGACATCCTCCGTACATGAAACTCTAATTCATCATGCCTCACCGCTACGTTGAATCAGGGTATAAATACTCTCTAAGATCTGATTTGGACAGCTATTTATGCCCTTCTCATTTCAAATTTCTTCTGAGAACCCATTTCTGTAATGATATCTACAGAAAAAGAGCTATTCTGTATGTTCTGTTTACCTTCAATTATATTTTATTGAATTAATTTAGTTCTATGAGGAAAGCTGTTCTATCAGAGCATATTGCTGCTTAACCAATAATTTAATGATTGAATGCTTCCAGATATATCTTCCCATTGATTATCATTTTTCTCCATCGCCATCACTTTTGTTAGGCCAAATCCTAAAACTGTACTTTAAAAATTACTTGGCCCAAGGAGCATCTCTTAGCCAGGGTGTCTGGAGAAGTCACATTTTCCATACAGAGCTCCATCATTCCAAATCTACAGCTGATAATATTTGAACTAAGAACATATACTCCTGATTAAATGGGTTTCATCTTCTTCCTAGACCAAACATTCATAAATTGTTTTACTTATGTACACACACATAGTTTTCTTTTAAAAATTAATATGTATTAGTGTGCAGGGTACAGCGTGTATTGAACCAATTCTTTGTAATACAAGCAAGGAAATACCTAAGTACATAGAACAATCTGCGTAGCTCCTCTTCTATTTATGGAGGTTGTTCCTTTGTCTTCGTAATTCCAATAGTTTATACAAATTGGCATTGACAATATACAGTTATTTGCTTCCTAAGGTTCTATATTTCCTTTGTATTTCTGAAGGTCAGAGGGACTCAGCCAAACCTGAAACAGCCATTTTAATTCCCAGTCTTTTCATTTCACTACAATGTAATTATCTTATAGATTTTTGTGTAGACTTATTTACTGTTTTTCTTTTCCTGTTGGATAAGTCTACAATAACTAAACTAACTTCAATTAGGTAACTGTCACCAATATTTAAAACTTAATGGCATTTTTAAAATTACGTAAGTAATCCAAGCATAAAAATTATTCTTTATGATACCATGTCAGAGTAGTGGCACCAAATCCTTATCATACAATAGCCTGTGACTCAGAAACATTAAACACAAACCATCATCACATTTTTCTTCTACCTAAGTTACATATTTCTTGAGTTTATATACAGTGTCCTTTTTATATTTGGACTAAAGCATCTTTAGGAGATACAAAATACAAAAGGGAATATTCAGCATCTTACTTTAAACTCAGTATATTAAATTATCTTCTTAGCTACCCATATGTAATCCTATAGATTTTAGAAATCAGAATTTGTCCTTGTGTATTCAGATATAGCAATGTGTCTACCTTACATTTCTAGCCTTGCTAGCGCAGTATTTTAAAGACGATATGCTCTCAGAGAGGCCACCATCCCAAGAGGCTCAAGGCACCTTGATATAAAGACATGCTTGAATTTAAGCACACATTTAAGTTCAGCATAAGTCTGTGTGCTTTGCAGTATCAAGAGAGTCTTAAAGATAAGCATATGCCTAAATATTATGCTGAACTGGGGATAGAAACAAGGTTTATCCTCTGAAGGAGCAGAATAGTTGCAATACCCCAGTACAGATTAATGATGTTCTGTGAGATTTATCTTTGAATATAGCAGGAAGAGGAAAATCTCCATTAATAAAAGGGAAAAATCATGAATCAGCAAATGCTGGAGACTGTAATAAGCAGGAAAACACTTTAGCTCATTCTGAACCACAGGTTTCATCCTCTGGCAGCACTAGGCTTTCATAAAATATAGGTGAACTGCCTGCATTCTAGAGAATGATGTGCTACCTTTAACTTTATTTGCTTTTTACTAAAGAGGAATGATATCAGTGCTCTGGGAGAAGCATGATATCATGTCTCCATGGTATAACATCGCTAGTGTGAGATTATTAACTTGTTATAGTATCATTTGACTGAGAAAAACTTACTTGAAGGCATTGGCATCTCCGTGGACCTTATAGTTGTCTGCACTGATTCTTGAGATAACTCTTGTGACAGCAATGAGAATACCGATATTGACCTGAAGAAGAAGAAGGAACAAGACTTGGTCAGGAAAGTAAGTGCTGACTGTGTCAGAGGTGCAAACTGCCCTAGGAGCGTATTATACAAATACAACAGAAAATAGGGACTTTGCGTGTTGCATTTATTTGGCAAAAGAGGTTTCCAATTTTGGACTGGTACAGTCTGACCTTCTCAATGGATTTCCCTCTCCCCACAGTGGGTACTTCTTGCTTGTGCTTTCTTTCCTTCAGGAACAGTCCTTGTCTGTTTAGGCTAAGGCTGGACTGATACATTGCTTCAAAGCTAAAGAAGTGCTCAGGATCCCCACTGTACAAATAAATACCCTCATAATCTCCTACCAGCTGACAAATTAGACAAGAACCTCAGTGAACAGGGGCATTTGTCTGCATGCTCTTTGGTTTTGTGCTTGCATGTGCATAGACTTCAGAAAGCACCTTTCTTGCTAGACTTCACAGTGTACAACTCCTGTTTCTTACCAACGTCTGCTTGCAATTTAAGCACAAGATTATTTTAAAACAGCAATGAGGAAAATATATTAATCCTGAACTCTGCTCTTCAAAAGCCCTGCTCTTTTTGATGTCAGGCCCAACAGAAACATCAATAAAAAGAAAAGAACTCCTACCAGAAAAGTAGGAAATCTTGAAAAGACTAACACTGAAAACATCTAACAAAAGAGAGTTTGCTCTGGAGTCACAGGTGAAGAAAGAAGGAAATCTTTATCACTTAAAGGAAATGTGGCAGACTGTCTTGCTGTGCAAAGACCTTGGGTTTAAAGAAAAAAAAAAAAGAGAGGAGAGAATGTGGAGATGAAAGACGTATTTCCCCCTTCCCGTCCAAAGTTACACATCAGCTACAAAGCTGATATTTAGCATCAAGTTAAGAACAAGGGTAGAACAAAACTATCCTGAACTACAGAACAAGAAGAAAGAGAAGACTTCAAAATAGTGCTGTTACTCAGTTAAAACTCAATAACCATACTCTATTTTGACATAAAGTATTCTAATTCTGAGGATGAGAGGGTGAATTAAAAGATGTTTACGTTTGAAGATAATGATTTCCTTGGTATTTTTCAAATCTTCTTATCACTCTTTTCACTTTAGATTTCTAAGGGCAGATCATCACCTGGTGTAAAGTAGGAGCATAGCTCTGGTAGTTCATTTCTGCCGCGGCTTTTTAGCCCATCCAAAGAATACCCTGTGGAACCTGAGAGCTTTTCAATTACAAGTGTACTTCTTGTTCAAAAAGCTTTACAGAGATGAATAAGAGGTGAAATTCAATGGTCTTGGGATCATTTTCCCTATTCCCACTAAATCATATTTTGTAAATATCTTTTATATATTCTTTAAGGTGGTAACGAGCATTTTTGAGAAACCCACTTACATGCTAAATATGCATGTTGACTGAAGCAGCAATAGATTAACGTGAACAAGTTACACTTTCTCTTCTCTTTCTCTCTTCTCTTTTTCCTCCAAACTCTCCAATTTTCTGCTGCATGTCCACCAAATGATCATCATCATTACTCCAGCTTTTCATGGGAATTGCACACAAAATGCCTCTCTGTACCCTTAACTTCTTTCCTGACACATTATCTTTCAGCAGCCTTTTTTAGTCTTTCATCCAAAATACCAGTCTCCCCTTTTGACACTTGAGGATGTCTGATTGACAGTTCAAGCTCATCCTGGCACCGTTGCTCCATGATCCCTTTTCCTCATGACTGCAGACAACAGCACACTCCTGCCAGCCTCACAAGCGCTTAACCTTAATGCTTTCTTCCATTCCTAATTCTTTTTCTAGATTTTGCTTTCTGCATAGCATTTTTAAAAATATGCAGATTATGCCTAAACAATGTATATTCAAATACTCGCCAAAAAAATCCTATGAAGTAAAAAAAAAAAAGATGAAACCTCATTCTTCAAATTGTGAATTTCCTGCATCTTACAAAAGTCAGTGAAAGTTATGAATTATAAGCACCACCAAATGAATTCTCAGAATCTTGCAAACTCTCACTCAAACTGGACAAGAACCCTAAGATCTGGTCATGAAAACAGCACAAGCAAGATAGTCTCAAAGGAGACAAATTAGATGGTTTTCTAAAGCACAAACTGTTCAGCATTTCTAGCTGAATTGTAATTTCTTTATGTAAAAGAAATTAAATTGAAATTAATTTCCTAGGTATTTTGGATGGCCTAAAGTGAAAATTTAAAAAGGCCTTGAGCTTCTCCTCTTGTGCAGCTGGCGTGACTATATCCTTTCCAGGGCTCATTAGTAATATATTTAAAAGATGAGAAGGAAACACTGTGATCTCACAGCTGATAAAAACCAAGGTACTTGTAAAAATAGCAACGAACCATTACACTCAAGTCCCAAAGTTCTATATTTAAATTTCCTGAACCACTTGAAAATTTTTGTTTGGGTATTTGAGAAATTAGAGTAATCTCATCCAGCCTAAATAAACAGATTAGCTACAAATATCTTCCTTTGCTAATATTTCAGTAAGTAAAGCATGGAGGTATTTCCACTGCCCTTATAATGGGAAACCAAAATACAGCCACTGAATTGTTCCTCTAGTGATTTTTTTGGCACCTGACGTAAATACTTTGCCAATGATTTGAATAGGAGAATGCTTAGTTGGTGAAACACTCGTTATGCTTTAACCTGTATCAGAATGTTCAAACCAGGAGAATAAACATTTAGATAAGGGAACTGTACACAGTTCCTATTTTTTACTTTTCTGAGAGGCCAGGTTACCTGACAGTTGCAGTTATTTTGCCTTAAAATTACAAAGGAACTTAGAATATTTTTGCTTGCAGGTACTGGCCACGCTCTACTTTTCAAAAAAATGTAACTAATAACATTAGCGCTTGTTTCCTAACTCACAGGACTCCTTTCAAGGCAGCTTGTCCAACCCCAGGCACTCGCAAGTCTCTGCAAAATCAGCAGGAGCTGCCAGTTCCCATTATTGTAGGCTTGATCCAAAGCCCACCGGAGCCCATGGAAAGATCCCAATGACATCAGGGAGCTCTGGCTCACTCTAGTGACAACTTCATCCGACTAAAAATTGTCAGATCAGGAAGAGAGTTAAATGAGTAAAAACGACCTCTTTCAATAACTTTTCTCATCAAAAGTTTGTCAGACCCGATACAGTGAGACAAATTCTTTCCCTCACTTAGGTTTTTTTGCAGGGGCTTCACCTAGATTTCCTCCAAGTCTCATGAGATTTTTGTTTCTTCTTTAGTGCAGTGCACAAATCCCATGTGTAAAACCCTCTGATGTGGTGTGTTGCATCCTAGCCAAGAAAAGGCTTGGCAGCACAGAGGAACTAAAAAAAAAAAAAAAAATGGATAAAACATATTGCCTTAATTAAATCCATTGACCAGCCTTCCTCTAAAACCACAAACTATTTTAGGCTCCACTTCAGTTTTGGGCAACGGTACAGGGAGTTAATAGCTGACTCTTCTAATCTGAGGTTTAACATACTCTCTCACGGTGCGAGTTAATTTGATCCTTATCATGACATCATTAGTAGCACACCAACGCTGCAAGTTGTTGCAGTTGCAGCCCATTGCTAGGTCACATCAGAAATCATTACTGGCTATGATGCATTTCCAAACACAGCTAGTCGATTAAATTAGATCGATGTCGAAATCTGGGAGGATGATTTTGGAAAGCCTGATTCCACTCTTAGCTATCCCAGAGCAACTACAGATGGAATAGAATAAATTGAGTTATTTTAGCCTTCTGTGTACGTGACTTCATATTAATGCATGTAGTATCACACCAGTCTGAATATCAGAGCAAAACTTTGCGGTTGGAAAGGAAATACGCAAGAAAATAAATAATAAATAAAAGGTGTAACAGATCCCTGACTTCTACTCTTTCCTAATACTAATCCTTAATTTTTAATTTCTTACACTCTGTCCCATTGTTCAAAAAAATGTTGCATGCTTTCCTGTTGGTTAAGTAAGAAGAAATGTAATTTTAAAATAATGAAGGAATTAATTTTAAAATGTAGTATCACACCAGTCTGAATATCAGAGCAAAACTTTGCGGTTGGAAAGGAAATACGCAAGAAAATAAATAATAAATAAAAGGTGTAACAGATCCCTGACTTCTACTCTTTCCTAATACTAATCCTTAATTTTTAATTTCTTACAATCTGTCCCATTGTTCAAAAAAATGTTGCATGCTTTCCTGTTGGTTAAGTAAGAAGAAATGTAATTTTAAAATAATGAAGGAATTTAATTTTAAAATAGTAAAAGTGCTCATAACCGAGCATTAATAAGAAAAAATGAGAAGCTTAGCCACTGTGGTCTGTTCATTTGTGCTCTAATCCACCACAGCACTTAAGTATGTACTTGATTTCAATGACTCTGAGGAATCCTACTGTTTCAGGGCCTTTAAACGCTTTGGGTCCAATTCTGTCACCTTTTCCCATGATGAATGATGTCTAACAGGGAACAAGAATTGTCACTTTTCAACCGGGGGACCTACCTGCAGAGTAAGACACTATTCAACATACGAAAATGATCCTAATTCTGCACTGGTACGTAAAGGTATGAATAAATACCATAAGACAACAGAACTAAATCATGTATGATCAGCAGGTATAAGGGAGAGAATACTTTTTTATATGTAGAATATTCATAAGCGAGTACCAACTGAAAACTGTGACGGCAATCTCAGCCTGGGACCCAAGTTCCAGGCAGTGCCATCTGAAGACACCAGTTACAAAGCTGACGTCCCCACAGAACAGAACTGTTAGCAATATGCTAATGAAAATCATTTAGCTCCATAAAAATGCTGTTTATCAGAAAGACCTGTAAAAAACCACCAGGAAAATAACTACTTACAGGGAAAACAATAGAAAGGACTTGCCACTACAGGCCAATATCTCCCCCCGCAACGGATTGTTCACTGTCTGCAGCACGCCCACTGCTCTGTGTACACAGATGCTTTCCGCAGAATTTCCTTAATTCTGCCATATCTATGGAAACACACCAAGGCAGCAGATGGCTGATAACAAACAAAGCCTTCTGCCAGAAGTTTTAATGTCTTGTTCCAAAAATTCAGGTGCTTTGTTAAGTTTGTTTTTTTTTCCTTTGAAAATATGTCCCAGGCCCACTTTGGCTGTGATTAGTTTGGTTTTCAAATTAATTGCAACGATTTTTTTGCGAAGCTGCCTTAAGAGGATGCTGTAGAGGCTTGAGTGTTGTGGTTTGGGGGGTGGAGGAGAGCGATCTTTAAACCTTAAGATGCAGGTAGAAGCCAAAAGACCTACACGTAGAAGGAACCATTTCTTTCATCTCATGCCTTGACTCAAACCCCAAGGAAAGAGCACTTTGGGTATGGGAATCCACATAGGGCTGAGGGGTTCTGTGAATTACTCCCTAGAAAAGTATGCGTGAGTACTTTTTCCCAGTCACGGCTCCCACCACTTCATTCTGTTTTAAGGCTCCGTGATGTCTATATTGCCTGTGAGGCTGTGGCAGGACAAAAGTGGACTGTGTCTGCCTAGCCTCCAGAGAGTGGGAGTTGAAAAGAGCAGTCTCCCTGTTTTCTTCACAGCATAATCCTTTTTCTTGGCACAGAGAACCTGCGGATGGAAGTAGTCAAAAACTGCTTTTTGAGACGTATTTTCAGAGCTAAACACTAGTTCATGCAACTAGTGGCTAATTCGTTATTTAAAGAGCACAGGCACACATGCACACACAAAACAGTGTTTAGCCTTGTTATTTCCCTATAGGCACTAACACATTTTTCAGCTAGCATATTCAATGCCCAGAGAGAATAATTCATCAGCTAGCTTGCTGCTATTTTGGGCAGAGCTGGGTTTAGACTATTTAACAAATTGCTCTACGTGGATCAAGCTTGTGAGCTCATTTTTTCTCTTTCTCAAAATATTTATATCCCTACAAGAATATAACTTGAGCTGCACAAATATTATATATCATAAGCGAGAGCCAGACAGTTAAACCCTTACTTTCCCTGGCAAGCAGCTACACATGCAAATTGTTGAAGGCTGTGCTCACTCAGGTGAGTAAGCGCTTCACTATCTGGCCTGTTTTGATTAATATCATCTTTGGACAGCAGCTGGGAAAGATTTGAGTTTACTGGTTGCATCTCATTTCCTCCTTTGCTGCTGAACAATGGCCAGAAAGCAAGTGCTAATGTGAGGAGGAGACATTTAAGTATTAGATTATTTTAATGGCTCTCCAATCATCAATATCTACATATCTTTGAATATAAACTCACATACAGAAGGTCTAAGGTACAGGCCAACAAGAAATTAAGTTTGTTGGAACAAAGACCAGAGCTGTTTAGCCAGCTCTAATCCAGTGATCAACATTTCTTATTTACAGGTATATGCTTTTACTTAGGTAAAAGAAATTCTGCCCTTCCTGCACAGGGACTTTCCAGTGTTGTCATTAATAATTTGATTAAAATGCTAACGTGAGGCAATTTCTGCCACATAATATAGCAACTATTTTCATTGTTTTCATAATATATGTTTATATAGCCTAGCTTTTCAGTGGCTGTATCTTGGGTGGAAGATGCTGGATTAGGCTGGGCTGGGCTGCCTATAAAAGGTGCTGATTTCACCGTCTCCCAGGCAAATGTTAGGATGTCCACTCAGCTGCAGTGTAAAATTGCCTGTGATGGAAAAAGTCAGCCAAGGAGCCACCTTCTGCTTGCCGAATAGTTATAGAGCCATGACAGTTATAGAGATATGCAATGGTGAACACCAGTTCTATATGTATAGCTCTCCTTCCTTCCTTCGGCTTGTGAGCAGGATTTGTGGATTTTTTCTGTGTGATGACATGTGGGGAAGTTTCTTTGTGCTTTCCATGGAAATCCTAGCTTTCTTAGGGAAGTACAAGGTACAGTCAGTGGCTCCTTTTGGTGCTCCTCCATGCAAGGAGCCAGGATCTTATTTTACCTGACCCTCCTTAAACACCACAGCAGGCAGACTCTGGTCTAGACTTGGGCTCATGCCTTTAAAATCCAAGTAAAGCTTTAAAGACAACCTGACTTCACTAATCAGTGAATGAATATTCCATGTTCATATTGTCACTCTGACATTATAACCTGCAGCAAAAATCATAGATAACCTGATCAATTAAAGTATTGGAAACAGTGTTGAAGAGGAATAATCTTCCACTTAATCCCTGCAAAAACCCCGCACTCCTTAAGTAATCACAGTGATTAAACTACAACTCACTGTAATTTAATGTGTGGGCATAATTAAACTGCTGCAGATCATTAATATATCAGCATCAAAGCCGTGAACCTGCACTCTCCCCTGGAAAGGCGATGTTCATTATAGCTGGCAGAGGTGTCTGCGGCAGCCACCTGAACCCCGGCAAACTTGCCTTAACAGCCCTGCCTCGATCAGCCAGACAAACTGCCACGCCTGACATCGAATTCCAAAACCAGAGAAAGAGCACAAATTCCTAATCCCTGTAAGAAGGCAGGTGCAGCTTGTGACCTTCCCCAGAACTCACCCAAAGGGTGACAGCTCGTGCCGATGTTTTAACCCATTCCTGCTAGCTGCTGACTGCTTGCAAACTCTGCCGATGATCATCTTCACTGCGGGCACTCAGCTTTACTGGGAAAAGTGAGCTCTCTACAAGCAAAAGCTTCAAAAACCAGTGGGGTGGAATCAGCCTTTCAACTTTTACTGGCGTATATGAAACACAAACCACAGAGTTGGTTCTTTTGGGGGATCTTTCTGAGAATTATTAAAACTCCCAAGATTACTCGGTTCTACACAGTTATTCATGGCCCCAGTAGGGCTGTTTCAGAAGAGGGCTGTCCCATTATTTTAGGTTGTATTTTTGTCTTGGAAGAGTGAAATTAACAGTGTGAGAATTAATATGCATAAACTAATACACGACCGTGTAAAACACAAAAATCGGAGGAGGAAAAAAATAATTCTGGATCATTCATCTCTGTCGTTCCATCAGTTTCACTGGCCTGGCACAAGGACTGACATCAGACCTCCAGCTAGTTCTGCTGTGTGGCTGACACAGGCGTGCAACAAGAAAACAGCAGCAGACGCAAGTTTACCTACCAGAATTACAAACAACGCCGGTGCCACAAAAGCCCAGATTGCTCCATTCTCTAGTGAAAGCCAGCAGCTGCAGAGAAAAATCAGAACAATTTTAGATGAAACACACGGTCATTTAATTAGTAATGTTCTTAATTAAAAAAGAGACTAAAAGAGAGTGCAAAAAGACTGATGAATTTTAAAAGCAAGAGACACGATAGAGCATCAATAAGAAGCTCCTTTTCCCCTCGCACTTGGGGAATCTGAGGCAGGATCTCATTTTGATTTGTATCTTGCGGAGAGTCAGTGACAGCTATCTGCCCCAGCACGCCTTCAAATAGCATTAGGGGCGGAAAGACGGGAAGAAAGGAAAGGTTTTATTTGCTATTTGTTGTTCTTGTATCCTGGATCACAGGCACTCACTTCAGTGCTGTGAGCACTGCCATTGTAGCAAGAGACAAATCGAAGCCCTCCCTGCCTTGCCTGGGCTGGTGGCAAGGAAGAGGCTGGGAAACATGCTGTCAGCTTCACGTGTCCTTCTTACAGCAGTGACGATACAAGCTAGTTTGCCGCACACGAAAAATAACCCTTCCTCCAAATCTTGTGCTTACGTTATGGTAGGATTGAATCCTACGGTGTTTTTTCAGATAAATTTGCTTTTCTTTTTCTTAATTAGAAAGGAACTTAATTTTCAAAATTTTTAACAATATCCATTCTAGATCTTCAGATGTTTAACTGCAGTTTTCGTCAAAAGATTAAATATCTCTAATCAAAGATTATTCTCATCTTGTTAGAAGTGTTTCATCCCGCGTGTGGGGTAAGCAGGGAGCTCACTGTAGGAGGCCTTATGCCTCTGCAGCAAAAGGGACAAACAGGCAAAACATCTCAGGAGCTTTTTGTGCATCATCTCAGCAGTGAAAAGCAAACCTGTGGCTTCCAGGTCTAAGAATATGCCTATACAACAGTCGTGCTTTTGCAGGCTACCTCCCCTACTCCTCAGCAGAACCTTCCAGAACTACGTCCCGGTTAACAGATCTGCGAGTTTTTCTCCCCATCCTGATTGCACCTGGAGTGAAGACATTTTCATACTCACTTGCCACTTTCTCCATAGCTGTCTAGGGACGATGTTGTAGAAATTACACAAATCACCAGTGGGCAGCCTGCAAAAAGGCAAAGTCGGTGGCAACATCAGTAACAAAAGTACATCCTCCAGTAAACCCTGCAAGTTCAGCTAAATTTCATATGGACAACAGAACGGCTCAGAGTAATTTTAGAATTAAGTCTAACTCGACATCCTCCTGCAGCTGTGTAATACCATGTTTTAATCAATTAACGTCAGACCAACAAAATGTCTTTTCAATAAAGTGCTGGTTCAACAGTTAAACTGAATTAGTGCTCATTTCATTGAGAATCATAATCCTTTTTCAGCCTGGTTTTTGTTTATATAATTACTGTCTCTTGCTATTCAAGCAGTGATATCCTGCGGAACAATATCAGGCTTATTCTAACCACTTTCCCCCAAGTAAGTGCACCTCGTTCAAGAGTTCAAAACAATCTGGAAAACAAAGTAGAGTTTCTCACGGGGGTGCATGACTAGCAGGCGAGAGGACAGAAATGGTGACATTTAGTTATTAGAGCACCACACACGACAGCGAGAGACAGTTATGAAGAGACAGAAGCAAATTAAGATCCCACTCAGATGCCCAACCAAGATTTATTTTAACATAAATATGTAACAGCTCCACAAGATTTCTGTGTTTAAAGTAGACTATGTTTCCAGACGGGTTTTGACAGTTCCAGTCTGCTGGGTCCTGGGAGGTGGAGGAGTGCTTTAGGGGACTACACAGGAGTTGTACAAAGGCAGACGGTTACGGTCCTGCTGTCGGGGGGAGCTGCGTGTCTCTGGCCCTCAGCACTGCGGTACCCTGCTGTGCCACTTTAGCACAGCTTGCCGGGTCAGGAGCTGGGGAGGAAGCAAGGTTTCTCTTGCCAACAGTTCTGAATATAGTAAAACCTCATCCCTTTAAATAATAAATGATTGTTGGTTAGTTTCTGTATGATTTTAATAAAATGTGAAGATTCGGGCTTTCGTCATCTTACGGAATTTAATAACCAGGTCCCAGACAGAGTATCATACATGACAGACTAAAGTTTCCATTTTCTTTTGAATTCTTCAGGTTTTACGCACGAGGCTTTTACAAAATTCTCTGACAAGCAATTTCTGCTTAATCTTACCAACATCATGCTCACAAAATTCTGTAAAGTTTTCCTGTACTGGCAGAACTATGATTTTTGGAAGAAGTATTTTCGTTCTTTAATGATTGTGGCTAGAAGCACCTTGTATTTATAAATAAGAAGGATACTCAGAAGTTAAGAAGCAGCATCTACAGGCATTGTTTAGGTCTTAGACTTTGAAATCCATTCTGCGGGATGGAGTTTAATATCCCATGAACTTGATTCAGCTTTCCCATGCTTGTCCAAGTCAGGGATAACCCCTTAGAAGTAATATTTGCATAAGATCTAAGCAAAGGCAAGATTTTAGTTTACTATCACATTTGTCTATTTAAGAAAGGAAATTCCTTCACACATTTGAACAGAATCAAGAATAATTATATTCAACAGAGCCATTAAACACAGACATAAGCCTATCTGCTGAAACTTGGACTGCCACGGGTATATGAGCTACCTGGACTAAAGGTCCCACAGGTTATTTCCACACGCTCCCGATCACATCGTTGGCTGCTGAGTAGACACTGTTGATTGGCACTGTTTGTCTGCCGATGCAGGTTGTCTTCCCACGGCAGGGACTTTGTCACAGAAGCAAAAATACCTGTGCCCAGCTAACTCTCCTTTATACTTCTAGTCTGCCTTTTTTTTCCAAGTCAAATGCTGGATATTCAAAGGATTTAGCATGACTCTTTATCAATTTTAAATGGCAGTGAAGAAGAAAATTAAATACAGAGTTCCTTTGGAAGATAATAAAACTTACGCAGATGAAACATAGAGCAGTCATCTGCATAAAAAGAGCTGTTAAGTCAGTGAGAATAAAATGGTCTGCAGCCTATAGTGCAGTGTTTGCCCTTTCTTTGCATTAACAAGATATTAAATGGATAATGGCAACGGAGGCAGAATCAAGGTTTTGTTACAGTGAAATTGGAGTATTTTTCCTTTAAGAAACAACCATTCAATAAATTCCATAAAGGTTGAAAAAAAATATATTTAGCCTAAGGGGATCATAAGATTTGATCTGGACTAAAGAATTCATATGGATTATATATTATACACAAAAGTAAGTGTGTTTGCTTAATCTTTTGTCAGTAATAATTACATAAGAGCTGTGAAGTTTAGTCTACACCCATAATAGGTAATGTTAATGCTGTGCTGGCACTGGTTATCATCCATGAAAGAATTATGGTTTTGGTTTTACTGTATCTGAATGTTTTCTCCGTTAGCAGATGCTACAAATATGCTCACCAACCCTACTCCAAATTGCCAAATTTATGACGCAATAGACCGTGCTTTCCAGAGCACAGGGTCAGATGAAAATGTTCTAGCACACCTTTCTGGCAGCTGATCTATGGCGCTGGTGTCATCTGTCTCTCTGTAGTCCTAGAGCAATACAGCATCACATTCAAACGGGGAAAATCCACCCACACGGAGCCGTGCGCTGCTGCAGCTCGAGTCCTCCGGGTCCCCAAGCCAGCTAATTTAAAGCTACCTCCCAAACTCGGAATCAAAACACAGCCTGCAGAGCAGGCATAAATTCTTAATACCTGGCACAGGAAGCCAAATAACACAATCCTTGCTCAGACAAAACTGTCCCCGAATTCAGCCCAAATACAGTCACTAGAGTGAAGTCTAAAACGAATGTCAGCTAGGTCCTCTTCTTCAGCATTAAACTTCACATCTAATCCAGTTGCTTTATGTTTCTGAGGCGCTAATGATAAATAAAACGGAAAATGCCTGTAAACCTGTATGCTGTATTTTGAAAGCTTCTGTGTCTTCTATACATAGCAAAAAACCAGACAGGCTATAGAAACTCTGTGGCAGACAATTCGAAGCAATTTTAGGACATTAATTCTAAAAGGCTAAATATGTAATTTATTGAGAAAGATGAAGCATTAGACACAAATGAAAGTATATTTCCTTCAAATACTGAAAAGATGTACTTTACTTGATGGGGAAAAGTATATTCTCCCACGTGTTTTGTAGAAGTTAATTTTCTATGATCTTCTTTTTCTTCTGCTGTGTTACACCGTATCTGTGCAGAAGTCTGGGACTACATCAAGCAACAGCAAATAAAGACATTTAGGCCTTTTGACAGCTCAGAACAAAATCTTCATTCTAAGGCAGTCTCTAAAGAAAAGGAAATTGTCTGAAGTAGGAAAACAAGTTAAGGCCAGAGTACCACAGCAAAATCTCCAGTACCATAAACTGTATCATCAGTGTCCTACAAATGGGTGGGTGGGAAAAGTTTTGCTACAATAATCTGTGTGTGTTATGCTGAATCACCAAGGCAACAAAGTATTTTTTTTCCCCAATCAATCTCAAGGTAGTTTTAAAGGTAGGATATTGTCACCTTCCTCATATTGCTCTTCTTTTGAATTCCTGACAACTGCAGTCTTTGAGGTAATTTTAGCACCCTTGGGACTAAAGATAATGCACAGGAACTTCAATCAGCTCTGCACATTCGGTATCCTGCCTCTCTGATTACTCTCGGATTCCTTTTGCAGGAGTAATCTCTCTCAGAAATCTCAATGGATGTCAGGAGATCAGTGATACCCAGTGTGGAGTTCCTTGTCCCCATCCCCTCTCATTGCCTCAAGTTTCAATTTGTCATTAATATAGACTTTGCAAACTTTTAGACAGGTACCTAGCCCAGTTTTTCTGCTTAAATAAGAATGATGGGTCTGGGTTTTTAAATTCAGGACTGGGGTTTGTCATTATTCCAGCAACTATGAGTTTGCAAAAGTCAAAAGCATTCACACTTCAATTAAAAACAAAGAATGAAGAAGTGAACTATCTGTTTTGACTAACATGAGATGAGACATCCTTGTCTTCAACTTCTTTCAACCATCTTTGGTCAGTATAATAATTAGCTAAGCCAAAGTGTAAAAAACCAGCCATTTTTATTAGAAACTGGAAAATGTATAAACTTACCCTCATTTTAAGAGCCAAACAATATAATTTTAGGACAAAACCTTTTTAGCCTCTTTCCCCAGCCTTTCCTGACAACTGCAGTCTTTGAGGTAATTTTAGCACCCTTGGGACTAAAGATAATGCACAGGAACTTCAATCAGCTCTGCACATTCGGTATCCTGCCTCTCTGATTACTCTCGGATTCCTTTTGCAGGAGTAATCTCTCTCAGAAATCTCAATGGATGTCAGGAGATCAGTGATACCCAGTGTGGAGTTCCTTGTCCCCATCCCCTCTCATTGCCTCAAGTTTCAATTTGTCATTAATATAGACTTTGCAAACTTTTAGACAGGTACCTAGCCCAGTTTTTCTGCTTAAATAAGAATGATGGGTCTGGGTTTTTAAATTCAGGACTGGGGTTTGTCATTATTCCAGCAACTATGAGTTTGCAAAAGTCAAAAGCATTCACACTTCAATTAAAAACAAAGAATGAAGAAGTGAACTATCTGTTTTGACTAACATGAGATGAGACATCCTTGTCTTCAACTTCTTTCAACCATCTTTGGTCAGTATAATAATTAGCTAAGCCAAAGTGTAAAAAACCAGCCATTTTTATTAGATACTGGAAAATGTATAAACTTACCCTCATTTTAAGAGCCAAACAAAATAATTTTAGGACAAAACCTTTTTAGCCTCTTTCCCCAGCCTTGCAAGACTTCTATTTAGATGTGGGAATTTTATGGAATATATATAAATATTCTATTTATAGAATAAATAAATAGAAAAATAATAGAGAGAATAACTTCTCTCTATTGTACTTTCATCAAGTTCATGAAGGAACAGCCCAAACTCCACCCCGTAGAACATGAGCACAGACTGCTGCTGCTGAAGGCAGCTCTGACGCTTGATCTCTAATTAAACGTTTCTGTTCATATTCAGTGCCAATACACTAACAAAAGAGAAAGCTGGGAGCTGACAAACCTGGGTGTCCTTTTAAGCATTTAAGTAGTGAACGCTGCAATGTGGATTTTCCCTCTAAAAACATCATTATTCAGCAACATCTATTACCAACTGAGTGAGCACCGGAGTTACATACCAGCCAGATTGGTTGCCCTGATACTTATCAATAGATAAACAGTTTGGAATGCAGTTGCCTAGTTAAATTACTTCAGTGATGTTCAGACACACTTGCAGCAATAATGTGATGTCAGATATTGTTAAGGAAATTCAACGTTTAATTCAAATATAAATACTTTGAGCTATACGGAAAAAATAAAGCAATACAAACTACTTTCCCAGCAACACGGTAGATTTACTGGATTTCGGAAAACACTTTTTTTTTCCAAGTCATTGCAGGAATAATAATTGGAACGTGTTTGCCAAAATTTAAATATTTAAAATATCTGCCTCCAACAGTACCTTTGCTATATTTAAGAAACAGAGCTTGCCACCGGGTTTCTTACACAATCCTTGCTAAGATGAGCATTGCTAGAAGAACTGATATAGAAACTTCTACTACTGGTGCCTCCTGTATTTTCTACGTTTATCTATTTTGATGACAAATACCTACTGTTGGGCCTGAGGGATTATCGTCCAAAGCATTACTCAAAATACCACTGAAGAGACTTTTTAGTAACCACGTTTAACATCCCATCGGGTTATGTACCAATAGGCTATGTACTCATTGTGCTAATTGCTACTCATTGAGTGGTAGCAATTCATATTGCAATAAAATGAGGCAAAACGCAACATTTAGTACCAGTCATATCGCAGTCAGATGCCATGTTTATCCTTGTGTCTTCTAAATCACTTTGTAGATCATCGCCATTTTACAATAAATAAACCTTACACAAAATGCCAGAAAAAAAGCGTAAAGGTGCATTGCAGCACATATAAATCATTAATTTATTTTATAAGGTAATTAATGATTGATTGTAAACTGAGTTAATCAAAGCATCTGCTATAAGCAAATACCCCAGTGAATTAAATGCCAGTTCTTATTATTTTATTAACTGTTGTGGCTTTTTACATAATATTTCTGAAGGAGAAAGAGTTCTCAAGGGCTTATGAGAACATTTTCTTTGGTTTGATCCGCTTGGATTTGTATTCCATGAGTTAAATAAATCCACAAGAAACCTTTCTAACATCAGCATGTTGCTCTACATTTAGCACTGAATCTAGAATCTACAAATCTCCAACGTCTTCAACCCTCAGCCTGCCTAGGTTCTCTTACTTTTGGGTCTATGTGCATGAAAAAGACTAATTACTCCACTTAGCCTGTTTTGAGTAGTGGTTTTAAAAAAAAAAAAAAAAAAAAAGGAATGGAAATATTTTACACAACTCTACTAAAAACCCAGCAAAACAGCTTTAAAATGTTTGTAGCAACCGAAGCTTTAAGGTGCATACTGTTGGCATGCAAATTGGCCATTCCTTAAGAGAAAAAAAAACTATCTTAAAGCAACCAGGATAAAGACATATGTATGTGATACTCTTGAACCTGTCACAGGGAAACAATGAGGGCAAAGAAAAAACTTCTGACTAACCAAACTGCAGTTTGTCCCCTCAATCTAGCAGATACCAAGTTCACCAGAGGACTGTATCAAACAGCCCTTAGACAGAACTGCTAAGAAGGAGATTTTAAAATGAAAGAGGAATGATGTACGGAATAAAAAGGCCCTATTAAAAAAAGGACAAGTAGGCAGTTGATGAAAAAAAAATTATATATATATATATATATGTAAGTGAACAGCATTACTATCACCCAGATCTGGATGGTGCCAACAGGTATTAAATATTCCAGTCATGACTGCAGTAGGTCTGTATTATTGGTATAATTTGTCTTCATTCAGCTTCCAAATGAATTTGTGGGGGAAAAGATAATGCATGTTTTAACATATTTTGAAATTATCTGTAATTATACAGATATTCCTTTGCTATCTTTTTACACCTCTCCTTTTGACTCAATGTATGAGGTTTTCTTCTTCTTCTAAATGTGGAGGTTTGTCAAGCATCCTTGCTGTACTTCCAGGACAGTGAAAGCAAGCTAGCTTTCATCTGCTGTGAAGAGTCTGGAACAAAATATTCAGTTTCGATTCCTCAATATGCACACAGATTATGCTTTCGTTACTGCATATAAAGAGCTGTGAACTGTTATCTGTGAGATTCCTGTGTCATAGGACTACTTTTTTATTCTTAATAATAATATTGAGGTTCTGTGTAGCCTTTTTCATCTAAGGATTTCAAGGCAGAAAACATCAGCTAATGAAGCCTTGTGATACTCCTGTGCTACTGCGCCAATTTTTTATGTATGGATTGCAGAATACAGATAGAATAAGCCAGCGTTGTGAGTTAGAACCAAAAAACAAACATACCAGTGCAGTGAGACCTCCCTCCCACACTTCTGCTATTGATTTGGTAATTAAGGATCTGATCTGGCCTAGCGAGGTCATGAAATTCACTACAGTGGAATCATGTTTAGGGACAATACATTTTAAAGTCTGATTACAGTCAGAAAAATTATGCATTTTCTTATCCAACAGACCTAGTCTCAGTAAGGCAAACTATGATCATAAGATGACAATTTTACATATGCTTCTGAATAGAATCTTGTCCTACAGACTTAAAGCAAGCAGCTACTAAATGCTTACCCCATCCAATTCCGTAGTAATACAAGTGCTTGCTCTCTTCTGACCCAAATACTTTGATCACCATACTGTAAAGATGAAATCCTTCCACCAGCATCCATGCAAAAGCACTCAGGAAGAAAAAATGAAGGAGAATGGCCAAGATCTTGCAAGGCACCTAAATTAAGAACAAAAATTAATACATTACTTCTTCGTGATGCAGTCACATTGGTTTTCCAATTTTTTTTTTTCTGTATACATTTACACACTAAATGCTAAATCACTGGAGTAAAACTCTTAAAAACAAAGCACTAGAGAATTTCAGTTTTCTACAGCATTTTCAGATAGCTTCAGAGTAACAAATCCTCTTACCTTTCAACAAAAACCAAAAAACATTGCCAGACGTGATGTGGAAATCCAAACTGATTATTTATTTATAATAGTGGGAGAAATACTCCTACTAAAGTCTACAAAATATTTAAGAATTCAAAACTGAAGGGTCGACATCCTGTTGCTGAGCCTGTAGTAAATATAGGAGAGTCAAAGAAGTGGGGTTACAGGCATCGACCTGTACCCTGCTCCCTGTTCTGTGATGGTAGAAAAACCAGCATGGTTCATGCCTCGTTTTCTGCAAAGAACTGGTAGAAAGTCAGTGGATCAGTTAAGCTGGAGCGAAACTTGGAAATTTTAAAGTAAGGTGCTGTGTTGAACCTGCTCTTTAGTTACACTTCACCATGTGGCTTTCCTACTTTGCTGTTCTTCATATTAAAAATAGGATAACACACAAATTAAATCGCATTGTATTCCAGTGTCTGTCTGTCCTGGTTAGAAATTCTGTAAAAGTCTCATATGCTCCTCCATCAATGGCCTCAAGTTGCGCCAGGGGAGGTTTAGATTGGATGTGAGGAAAAATTTCTTTACTGAAAGAGTGGTGAAACATTGGAACAGGCTGCCCAGGGAAGTGGTGGAGTCACCATCCCTGGAGGTATTTAAAAGACGTGTAGATGAGGCACTTAGGGACATGGTTTAGTGGGCATGGTGGTGTTGGGTCGACGGTTGGACTCGATGATCTTAGAGGGCTTTTCCAACCTCAATGATTCTATGATTCTATGATCAGCAATACCAATATAGACATTTCAAAAATATTATAGCAAGCTATCATTGGTTCTTGAATCCTAATTGCTCTATGGTGGGCATCTAGGTTACCCGCCTGTTTGAATTTGCAATTTCCCATAGTCTGAAGTACGTACCAGCTGTATATGAAATCATATTTGACAAGAACACATCTAGCGATTAAGGCAAAGAACTGAAAGTCTTCTCTGTAGGGTGTTTACAGACAATTCGAATACTCCTTGATAGTCCTTTATTCACTGTGTGCTATCAAGGTTCTGGAAATAGGAGCTGATACGAAAGTTTAAGCAACAGCAAAATACCATGTAAAAAGTGAGCCCACCCGGTGTAAACTGGACTATGTGTTTCAATTTAAACTATAACATGTTTTGAAGTGAAACAAATGCTGCCCCAAAAGAGAGGAATGCCAAGCCTAAGGCAATGCAGCAAGAAGTAGAAACACCCTCGAGTCCTGTTTACACCCACCTCAGCGCTCATGGCCCACTGTGGGCTACAGGAAATGCAGCGTGGGCGTAAGACCTGGCTTTTCCTTAAGTTGCTCCTCAAAGAGATCTTTACATTTTTCTCCAAGTCTCCTATCGGCCTACCTTACAAAACCAGGAAAACCTAATCCGTTCTTCTTCCCCACTCCTCATGTATTCACACAGCACATGCTCCTTTCCCCACTAATTGCTTTTCAAGGATGTCTCACCACAAGTGGTTTCACTCATCATACGGTAATTGAACAGATGTGACTGCCAATGATCTTACCACAAGATAACCTCGTTTGGTTTGCCTTCAGTTAAGGCACATTTTAAACATGCTCTTGGAACGAGTCCCAGCTATATCTCAGTTTTGCATCTTGTAGCATGCTGACGATGGTCATTCTGCTCTGTAGTTGTAACATCCCTTCTGTGTCACCTACAGAATTTCAGAGGGGTTGCTTGCATGCAGTCCGTGTAAATGGGAAGACTTTTTTTTTTCCCCTTCCTTCAAGGTTTCCCTTCCTCACCTGCACAAGTCACAGTAAGGTATCCAGGTGGGGGGAGTCCGTGCGCTGAGGAAGCATTACCAGTAGGAACCAGTTTGCTGCCACAGTGGTCTTCAGATGTTAATCATTAGTTGCCTTTGCTGCGTTAGCTTAGCTGCCCTGTGCTGGCACTTCATTCTTTTTGTTGATGGTTCGGGGTTTTGTACACTAATGAAAATTAAAATGTTGGGACTTGATAGTATAATGAAAATTGAAGCTTTCCCATACCTTCTCACTTGTACTCAGCCAGTTCTGCGCTAGTGCAAGGACATTCTAATGTAAATCCACGGTGACTACACGTATTAAAAAGCAGTAACTTTGGTTTTAATTCATGTAAGTGAGATCTGTAAGTGTTTTAGTATTTTGCAGTGTTCGGTGACATATAACTAAACCAGATTTGCTTATTGACAAAAACTGTAAAACCCTTTCCAGTTAATTTTATCGTAAGGCTATGAAATCCATTTTAATGCCTTTTGATTTCTACCAGATTAGTCCACAAAAATAAAAATGCAACATAAAGCTGACTTACAAGCTAGTTCTGTCAAATAGATACTTTCCAATTTTTGAGTAGCCAAACAATATGAATCACAAAACAGCAGAAAAATAAAACACAGTGAAGTAGCAGGAGGCTGGTCTGTATATAATTTTGTATAATACTGAGTTGCAGATTTTTACATAAAATCCATAGCAAAGTTGTTACTCTTTCTGTATTTGTGCCTTAATTATTACTTTGAAGATACTCTTAAATGACAGAATTGCTTTCTTGAAAAAGGCATTGAAAAGCTGAGACTTTACATATTAAAAACAAGCAGGTGTCCCTTGCTGTATCATATGATGCACGCTACTTTTGGTAGAATATCTGTAAAAAGACAGATCTCGTTACTGTTACTCTTACAGTTGACTACTTGTGAGTCTGTGGAAATAGAAAAATCAGTCCGGCCAGTAGCCAGGCTTATCACGTTATAGCTGTTGAGAAAGTAAAGCAGACTCTCAGAAAGGCCTCTCAGAAAATAATAGTCATTTGTTCACTGAGGACAGTCTTAAAACAGATAGGTAAATTTGCATACATTTTCTAAATTCAGTTTATAATAGTGTTTTCAATTTAAGTGGCAATCTTACTGCATTATACAGAACCCTCTGAAAATGTCCTTCCCTGCAATCTATATGCTGCTTTGATACACAGTCTTGAATTTCTGCAGATACATAGACCATAAACAAAAGTAGCTCATTTCATCTCTCTATTTGGAAGTGTTTGAAGCAATGCCATGCAGGAGTACTGAGTGAGAAACAGCTCAATACACTGATGCAGAACTGCAAATAATAGACACATTAAATTTTCCAGCTGTGCTGGAAAAACACAGTGCTGCCTAACACACTGTACTTCAATTTTCATTTTCCTATGTCTAAATAATACTTCACTTTCTCCCACAAACGTGCTCAGGTCTTTGGAAGGCTTTAGTAGCCTAAAGATGGTTAATTATTTTTAAATGCACGCTGCTGTTTGGGATTCTGTTTAAAAAATGGTGCTCTCTAGTCTATAGCAGGGAGTAAGTAACTAAGTCAGCAAACCTCTCTGAAGAAACAAATCCATCTATTGCTGAAGGTCTAAGGGAAGTCATTAGACTGGCACGCGGATAGCAAAGATATCTTAGGGACTTGGCAGTATAGGAAGAAAATGCTGTGTGCAAAGATACTTGCTTTCTCTAGAAGAAAGATATGCTGGTTTCAGGAATAATTGCCTTCCTGGAATGTTAGGTATCAAGGACCAGCTTTAAAAAAGAAAAAAAAAAGGTTTTGGATGTATTAGAAAGATCAAAGTCCTATTCATGGAAATAGAGTTTTGTGGTTAAAAATTACTCCTACTCTACAAAAGGAAAATTACTGTAGTATAAATTGTAAATGATTAAATAATAGATCTGAAATTACCAGGGGAATACTGTATGCTATATCTGGAATCAAAAACTAAATATCCCTAGAGACGGAGATGGGAGAAGGATGGCGAGTCTAAAGGCAGTCATGCAAGAAAGCGATGCCAGCTCACGGCCTGTTTCTGTGATGCCATTCCCTGTTGCACTGTATTTCCTCAAGCAAACTGGTACCACTTGTCCTTTCAAGCCAGGGCTCTTATAAACTGTTTGGCACTAGATACACCCATCTTTGGCAGAAGCAGAAGATTAAGTAATTTACACCTTCTAGTGTAAATTTACACCTTCTAGTGTAAATACACCTTCTAGTGTAAATATCACCTCCCTCTTTTTGTAAACTACCATTTAGCAGTCTAATTAAAGCAGCAATTAAAGGTATTAAAACTGATGTCAAAGCTAGTGAGAACAGAGCATGCAGAAGGTAAAGACACGAGACTAATAAAAGGATGAATCGCAATACCCGCGATCCCAAGAGGTTAAAACAATAAAAATAAAAGTGTAGCAGATAGTATGTACACCATGCTTTTCAACTTTAAGATCTTTACAGTATTGTGCCCTACAATTACTGCTGTTACAGAGGAGATAGGGCTGAAAATATCCAAGGATTCTGTGAAGTGTTTCACTTTGGAAAGCCTGTGGCATAAAACAGCTCTTGCTTTCTGTGTGCTACTGTTTCAATTTAACTAAAGTAAGTTTGGAGTAGGTTTAAGAGAAATGAAAAAATGCACCTATTAAACTGCAGCTTAAGTCTACGTGAGCATTTCACAAGCTTAGCTACATCTGCTTACCTACACAAGGGAGATGTCTGTGTGTGGACAAGGCATATTATAAATGGAGGTGGACACTGGGACAGGTCTCTGGAGAACACGGGCTCTACCTACATCCAACTAAAAACAGGAAACGTAACTAGTATTTCATAGTATTTTAAAAGACTGGAGGTGATGCTGGCCTTGATAAGGTGTAAAGAGGCTTTTACACGTTATCTGAAGTGACTCAGTTGGATTGTCTGAAAATCTGGAGCGGATAAAAAAGGAAAAACTGTGAGAATCAGACACCCTGTTGGGCTGAGTGAACGTTCTATTGCCCTCAAGCCTACGTCCTTTCATCAGAGTTTTAGCTCTATACTCACTCAGAGAGGATTATTTTAATACCTGGTTTCCATTGCCTTCAGTTTCAAGTTATGTCTTTTGCTGCTCTCCACTGTCTCCATTTCATTTTCCTTCTAAACCGTTCCCCACCATTTTCTCCCTTGCACATTGTCTTACTCATTCAGGACCTACCTGAATGTTAAACAGCAGAAGAGTATGAACTTCCTTTTACAAAGTGCTTTTAAATCCTCAGGTAATAATAGCCTATGTAAAACCAGACATTGCCATTATTTATAAACTTAACAGATGTTCAAGGGATCCCGTTTGAGCTGAATATAAATTTAAGTAGCTGTTGTATTGGCAAAATGAAGAGTGTTCAAACCTCATATTTACTTGTACTGAGAATAAAAAGAATAAAAGATTAATAGAAACTGCTCACTGCTTGTCAAAAGTAACATGGAGCAACAGCTGGTCACCAAAGTAGCCAAGTTTTGACCATTACAAAAACAGAGCACACTGGAAGATTATTTTAAAATCAGGTTTTGTTTCTGCTTTTTGCAGGTGGGACTTTCCATCAACAGACCTTACATTACTTTAAATAGCATTTTTTAAAAACAACAGTGGAAACAAATTGGTTTTACTGGTATGTAATACTGTTAACTTGGCATATTCGTCTTAACCTAAGCCAGCTGTTTTAGATGCCAGTTTTAATGGTTTAGATCCTGGTACTCTGCATAAGGAATTCCCACCTGTAGTAGCAGATCCATAAAATCAACCTGCAATTTCAAGTTCCGATCTATGCGACCAGGCAGAAAAAGCCTATACATGCATAGAGCTTAAATACCACGTAAGCAGTATGAAGGTGTTCATCATTTGCTTAAGTGGTTGCCTTAGATGCCCAGAGAAGTTTACACGTGTTTTACGATACCGAGGATCTCGGATTAAACTCTTACACAGCGATACTTAGAGGTAATGCTTTCTGCCACCTCTGGCTATAAGGTGGCAGAATATTAATATTAACTATTGCTATTAATTAAGCAATAGTTGCTATACCTTTCTCATTGATTATTACTCAGGTCCAATAAACACAAATGATACTTAAAAATCATCTAAATTTCCAGAGTAGAGATCATGATCAATAAATCTGCTGTTCAGAAAAACAGTGTATTCCACCACACAAATACAACTTTATGAGCAAAAAACAAAGAGCTTCTGTTTTGCTCTCCAAGAAAGCAGAAGAAATTGCCACAGCCCTGTCAGGAAGCTCATTACCTTCCAACAAGAATAAGATGACTTTTTAATGTGGAAAAAAAAAAGGCAAACTGTACCATAGCAGAGAATACACGATTAAAAAAAAGCCAAAAAAAAAAAAAAAAACACAACCCAAAACCCTAACAGAAATACAAATACCTTACCTAAATACAAAATTCATACGATTTTCTCCAGTACAGAATTCCTACAGTTTCCAACACGGAGAATGGATGAGAGAAAGCATAAGCCATGTCAGGCAGAAGTCAGCCATGCCCTTTGAACACACAACTGAAATGCACTCCATTACTATGGTGATTTTTCCATTTGATGGGTGCATATCTCTTTCAGTTTTGCAAACATCCAGACATGGCTGGATACACGATAACACTATTTGGATGCACAGAAGGCTGTATCCAGTGTTGTAGGATGTCATTTTTGGCTAAGGCAGGTTACAAATAGGAGATCTCACATGCGAGACACTTTCTTGCATGTGGCACGTGGCATTCATTCCGTGGAGGTGCCTCACAAAAGCCACAATCACTCTTTCTAGCACTTACCGTCCCAGGGCTGAACTGAAAGCTGGTGAGAAGCAGGATCTGAGCCACCAAGACAGCAAAGGACAGATTGGCATGGATATGATAGCGCTGGTTGCGGATGGTGCTGACAGACCTGGCAGAAGATAGACAGACACGTGAATAAAACAGTATTCCAAGAAGCACAAACGTATTTATGATTTATCAGCAAGCATTTTGATTGGCTTTTGGTCACTCGTTCTGGTGGGGTTATCATGATGTCTTCTGAGCACTCCTTCCACCAGGACGGAGTTGTACCTAACTGGTTTCTTGCATATTCTGCTACCGTCCTGAAGGCAGCAGAAAGACTGAGTTGCACGTTAACTGGCTCTGCTAATGACTTGTGATAGAATATCAACAAAGGGCTTGATCCTGAACGGTGCTGAGCTGTCAAGGAAGTCAGATCTGCACCTCACAGAAAGCATACTGCACCTTGCACCATCTAGCCCCCACCGTGCCACAGAGTTTCTCGTTTTATTTTGTTGGTATTTGCCTGTGTTAGAAATAAGTGAACGTGAAAAGACTCTAGTTAGAATTTTGACTTTACTATTACCAGCTTTTCAGCACAGGAACTACAGCTACTTATACGGGTGGGCAGTGCCTATCTTGACAGAGATCTGACCTTGATTACAACATCATTTGAACCTATCTCTCTTGGCTTTGCAAAAACTGTCTGGAAATCTGACAAGAACATGCTTTCCTGGGAGTCTTCTGACCTCGTGTTTCTGTTCTCATCCAGAAATAGGAAGTAGAAAACAAACAAAAACATTTATCTGAACATTTCAGGCCTTTCACATAATTTTATTCTTCTCTTTAAAAAAAGAACAGTACTAGTGATAACAGGTTTCCTATTTCAATCCAAACTGCCTGCCAGCCCCTACCATCAGCTTTAATCATTTCAGGAGACCTGGACCGTTTGGCTATGCGAATGGCAGTGCTTCCTCCACACTACAGCACGCAATCCCATCTTTTTGTTGTATCACGCTGGATGGCGACAACTTTTGCAACCGCTGGTGACACATCGTGCGTGCCCCCTGCAGCAGCGTGACACAGACGGGGCAGCGCAGACGATGGCTTGCTGTCAGCCCTGCTCTTCCAGCACTGTTGTAGCCAGTGCTCCATTAGAAGGGAGTGAAGAAGGAGAAGACAAGCAGTATCGATATCCTAAAAGTAATTCAAAGAGACAGGTTGCACTGCCTGGTGCCAACGGCTTTCTAATAAGGAACTTCACATAGTCGTAACCTGGAACATCGTTACCCAGACGGCAATCACGACTGCCCTCCTGGGAAGCGGCCGCTGTTGCCAGTACGCAGAGTAGCAAAGAACTTGCCAGATTCCTCTCCACTTACCTCATGGTCATCTAACACTACATTGCAAAATTTCACTTCAGCTGTTTAACGAGGCCCTGCTCTCCAGTGAAAACCTAATCAAATTATTTTTAATTGGCAGTTTGAATGATCCGGTACGTAGGTGGGGTGCTTAACCCTGTGACAGTCAGCTGGGTCCAAGCTCTCTTTCCAAGTCTTCTGTTTGCCTCCAGTTTCTTGCAGAGTTTTCAGCCCTGCTGCAGCAATACCATCTCCTTTTGCTCCTTTTTCCTTCCTAAACACTGTAACATCCAGTTTTGCACTCAGACAAAAATGGAGCAGATCATTCCCCCCAGCCTAAACATGCCAACAGCGCAATGCCAGATAGGCAGACGTTGGACTTATTTAGAGTGGATTTTGCCACGCGTTATGTACTTAATCCAAGTATGACCAACACAGATCTTGAGACTTGGAAATAATACAGGGTTTGGAACAAACACACACTGCAATCAGTTTACTGGGTTTCAGCAAGTCCTTTTTCCTAGAAACTGGCCTCTAAACAGGATGTCCAAAAGACATGCTTAGGCACCGAAATCAAAAATTGAACTCTTGAGTAGGAAGAACATGGTTTAGTGTGCAAAAGGAGACAAGAATCCCATTCCTCGCTGTGCTCCCAATCTGCTGCGCAACCTTCAACAAGTTACTTCACCCTTTGTCAGGTTTTCTATTTTTTATTTAGACAGAAACCCTTATGAAAGCGTTTTCAGAAATGTTTGTATCAAGCCTAGCTGGGCTTCAAACTCAGTTGTCACTACTGGAATATAAACATGCATAAAGACCCTAAGCGCCCTGTGGCAGAAACCTTCCCAGTGCAGAGAGCCCTCGAAGGGGCTGCCGTGTTACAGGCAGGAGGCTGCAGAGATCCAGAGTATTTAAACATAAGCCATGGAGTGAATTTCACACTGCCGATAGTGTCCTTCATCCTACTAAAGCAACACATTAGAAAACTGGCCTAACAGAGAACAGCAAGATACTTGAAAATAAATGGGGGTTATATGATGTAATTGTGTACAAGCTGTATGAAAAAAAAGTGAAGCAGCTAATGTTGACCGAGCCTTCCTTTCTGGGCATACCTTCGTAAACACACTGCCTTACAGACAAGACAGTTGAAAAGCAGAAAGAAGTACTGACTGTACACTCCAAGCAATCCAAAGATGGGGGGGGGGGAAAGGGGGTGATCCTGCAGTCCTTGCTCATATTGTACTTGCTTTGAGCTCCGGACCAAGCCCTCCTACAGTCTCCTTGCAAGATTCCTGAACTATAACAAAACATGGAGAGTTTAAAAACAATCCGAAAATCCCTCATAGGATGGAAATAGCTTGCCATATAAAACCCACCCCATTTCAGGAAATGAAAGTAATTCAGAAATAACTAACCAACTGTTACAAATACACATGCAGAACGTAATTAAGGAAGGTTGTAGAATTAATAGCCTTTGTTTCATCCCGAGCACCTGAAGGGATCCTAACCAGTGGCCTGAAAAGCAGCGCTTGGCTTTCTGCACGATAGTTGTTCAGCAGGTATTAAGTTAAAATTACTCACGACAATATAGCAAATGTGACCAGCGTGATCGTCAAGCAGAAGATGGACAGAGCGCAGCCAATGTAAGTGATGGAGGAGAGGGCCACCTGGTGTTCTCTTGTTAGCTGTACACGAAGAAAAAAATGAAATAAAAACTATTAATTGATTTATTACGCTACAGAACCACAGGTCAGGCCCCCCTGCACATGGCGTTTCCTCCTCCATCCGCCCATATATAAGCTGATGTTCACAATCATTCGCTGCTGTTTCTAACACGGGAAATGAAGAGCCGACTCCTAACTCAGCCGCACAGCCAGGGCATCCACACGCCCATGGCATCTTGGTTCCCTCTTCTATTTCATAAATGAGTATTTCTTCAGAATAAGTTAATCTCTCTGCTGCTGCGGTATCATCAAGCCTGAGATCAGGGCAGTTTACTGGGCTGCACAAACAATGTCAGCAATGGGATCTTTCACAGCTCGCAGGGCACTTTGCTAACGCTCTCACGCTGCAATAATTTACATCATTGTGCAAATACCAGAAGTGCTTCACAGCAGTGAGAACTGACAAAGCATGATAACCCATAAATCACAGGCCATTTATAGCCCACTTGTTTTGTTTAATGTATCATGTTTTCAGTGCCTGTTGAAGGAGCTGGACTGACACCTACAGAATGGAAAACCACAGAAAAGACCCAGCGTGAGCAGTCAGAGGGCAAGCCGCTCGTCTCAGCCTCTGTTTCTATCTACAGGCACCTTTTGTAGAAGTAATTCAATTTTCATGAACCTTTAATCTGTAACTCCACAGTCCCCGCCGCTAGGATCTATGTTAAAGCCTGGATAGATTCAATGGGGGAGGGACAGTGTGTTTTGACCATTCATCCCAAATTAATCAGAAAGTGTGCTTTAATTTTCCGTGCAAGTTCTCATAAAAGAATGACAAAAAAGCCACACCCAACAAAGGGAGCCAGGCAGTATTAATATATAATAAGTAGAACAGAGCTAGGCAGGAAAAAGTTTTCTCATCTCAGAAGAATTTTCAAATATTTTTCCTGACTTGATTTGGATGGAGTTGACATTTTCATAAACTGAACATTTGAGGGGAAAAAAAAAAAGCGGTCAATGAAAAAGTTTTAGTTTTGATGCTTGAAATACTATGTTTTTATTTCAGCGTCTATTCACTATAGATTAAATTCCTAGCTGAAAACTCATTCAAAATATTTATTTATTCTGAAAAATACTGAAAGGACCAATATATTTTCCAATTCTTTTACAGTAACTCTAATAAAAAATAATCATTTCTCACAGTTTGGGATTTTCTATTATTTTCCCCACACACAATAAAAATTCCCCCCCAAAGTATTTCATCAGAGATTATCAAATCCAACCAGTTCTACCAATAAACTTCCCATTAAAATTCCTTTTAAAGCAGAGAAATAACTTGCCATGTGGTTATCAGGAAAAAAAAAAATACAGACAAACCCGATGTGTTGTATATGTACATTTTTCTTGTCATTATCTGCCAACAGTACCAGCTCACGTGCAGTAAGTTTTACAGCAGAATAGAGTGTGGCTCGCTCAGCAATCTGAGAACTATTAAGTGATGCAGCAGCAGCTTTGAAAGACAACTGTTGCTATGGTGTTACAGTTCCTAGGAAATATGATGCAGCTCTTTAGTATTTTCCCTCTTTCAGCCAAAGACACATTTCTTTTCCCTGACTTGGATAGCATCAATTAGAGAAACAAAAGGGTTCTGTGTGCTGGACCAGCTTAAAAGGTCCATATAACTTCTACAAAGGAGCTCCTATCATCCCTCATCCCCCAGAGAAGCCATGTATAGCCATTCTTCACAGATTATGCCTGAAATAGGAATAACTGGTGTGGTAAATTGGGCAGTTTAGAAGTGATTTCCTCATCAGGGATATTCATGTCCAAAATACATGGACCTTATTTCCTGATTGCTCCAATACACATCCCTTTCTCTTGCTACAGGTGGCTTGCAGTTCTACAGAGGGAGGAGGGGAGGAGAGGAAGATTTTCCAGCTTCAAGTCACTCTGAAATCAGTATTTCTCAGCAATTCAAGGCTTTCTTTCACTCCTTTCACTCCCAACACCTGCAGCCAGAAAATGTTCCCTATGGAGGTCAAAGCTGCTCAGTGCTCATTTAGATTTACAGTGGTCTATCGCAGCGTTCGCATTGGCAAAGGCGGATAAGATCTGCAAAGGAAAGGTAATGCCTTACTATCACATACAAGTACAGAAGATACAGGGGATCCATCTAGTGGAAATGGGCAAAAATCAAAGCCTTTGGTTTTTTCCATAACATAGCCAAGAGAAGATAATGATCACACAAACATCTTTTTTCTAACTAATTCCTATCATAACTAACATGCCTCTAAGACAGTCTTTCTCTGGGTTTTAGCTCAGTCTTCCTCCAGAAACCTCTGCAGGGCAAGACAAGACACGAATCAAGTTCTTCCAAGTGGAGCCTGTATTACTTAGAAACAGAAAAGGAAAAAAAAAATCTCTTATCAACAAAATGTAGAAGATTCATTCAAACCTAAAATAACCTACATAGGTTCTCATATCTATGAACTGGAAATTGCTCTTGCTCTGGTAAACGCAACCAAAATGTGATGATGCTTTAAGAATGACACTCTTAAATCAATACCCACATCAGTCTGGTAACAACTATTTCAAAACCAACATCGCTGCAGTTCACATTCTCGTCTTGCCTAGCGTGAGGGACAGAAAGCTGTAGGTAGTTTTGAACCATTTTTTGTTCATGAAGGAAAAGGTGGGGCCTGCGACAGCTGTTCTCAAACTGAACTGTCGGGTTGGAGGGGTGCAAGAGAGCGGTCCCCGTTCACAGCGGCTCCAGCCGGTGAAACCAGCTCCTTTCTGCGGGTGGTACGAGTTGCAGGGGGAAGGACACAGCGTGAAAAGAAGGCCCGGAATGATTTCCAGGGTGTGGAGCCTCATTTCTAAATACAGGTATACGGTGCGGGAGAGAAGAGAACTCGTATTTAAAGCATCAGGTCTCTACTAACTTCTCACAACCCAGCTGTTACAACACAGCTGGATGTTGGTGTCTATGTTCACATTGTAAGGGATAACAAGCATGCAGTTTTTTAGAAATACCTGGACTGCCAAAGGATTGTGCATCATCAATTAAGAAACTATTTCTTATAAATTCCAATGCTCTGCTACGAGCCGATTTCATCTTACCTCAGCTTTTCTTTTTGAAAATTTTCAGACTTCGTGCATGACGTGGAATGTAAGGCAGTAATTTGGGATGATCTTGTAGTCAGCACAAAAATGCTAATCAGGCTGTAATGCTATTACTAAAGAAAACAGCACTAAAAAGTACCAAATAAAACATTGAGCAGTCTGTGAAGTAGTCCCATGAGCCTGATTCTCACACTTGTCCCAGTCTACATTAAATTATTCTTTTCTTCTAAAAGGCTTTGCTTCTTTGAGTTTATAAGGTCATTCTCTTACTCTGCAGCAAGCTGAAAAGCTAGGAAACGAGCTCATGCAGTCATGAGTGTTAGTAATCATGAACACCAAGACATGTTTCTTAGTTTCAGCTTTGACAACCAGTCAAATCAAAAATTCATACTCCATATAAAGCTCCCACCCTTTTAGTTTAGGCTGTAACACCCTTTACCTTGCAAGCGTTGCTAATAGCATGGACAAAGATCTGACGGTTTCAGTAGTTACACCCATCTGCAGTATTACAGTCCATTGTCTTACCCTCGTTCTCACTCATAAAAGAAGTTCGTGCGTTGCTCAACATTTTTATTTTGGAAACTCACAGGCAACCGGATGGCCTGAGAAATGATCCTGGAAGGATACCAGTTCAGACTCCAAATATATTTTTTTCCTTTATGATGTTGTTAATAACAAGAAAATGAGTGACATCTAACTCCTCTATTTAAAAGTAACTGCACAGGAAGATGGAAATATATTATTATAATGGGATGGTACTTTTCATCTCTGGAGTATCTGGAAAAGGTCAGCTGAGGCTGAAAGCCTCGTTCAGTAGGCTATACGTGAAAAATAGTTTGATCTGTATCTAGAACAGAAAACCTACTTATTTATGTAACATTAATGAGCAACTGTACATACAACACAGCACAACAACCCATCAAAAAGCTAAATGGGCTACAGAACACAAAATTGCAACTGGTCAGATCAGAGCACCTGTCTGGGCAACACAGGGCTCTCTCTGCTCAGTGTCCCCTTCCAGACGTCCCCTTCTTTTGTGTGAAATTTGCACTCCTGTCCCTTTTTCTCATTATTCACCTCTCAGGCAGCTGACTGCACATTTTCTCCTTTGCAAAGGGGGTACTTTTGGCTTTCTCCAGAGGAAGGGGCATTTTGGGGAAGTACTAATCTAAAATTTCCTTCTTTACATACTGCAAAATATCCCTCTGTGTCTGCCTTTAGAGGCAACACGTCAGACAAAGGGCTGAGTTCAAATACTTAAAACAAGGTTTGTCATGGCTGATCCTGAAAGGGTTTATCCGTATACCAAATTACAGCTTCACAATTTAGCCACCAAAAGCATTAATTGCATTGTCTAAACTACTTTTGAAATTTCCTTCATGAAAAGCAATTCATCTTCCAAAAAAAGACAAGTTCTTGAACCAAAGAAAGTTTTACAGCCTTAAAAAATGAGCCCTGCAATCTAAGGACTATATCATACTTATCATTTGTATTTTAGTGTTACTTACTGGCAGAACACAGAATATGACATTTTTGCATGTGCTTGTATGGTGTATACATTTTATGAAACCAAAGTTATTTGTTTACTGGTGGAAGTGTAAGACGTGACAACTGTATTTTGCCCTAAGTCCAAACATAAGAGCAAGTTATATTTGAGTGTCCCTTTTGGACAGCTTTCCATCTCAAAGAAGCATTCCTGCCATGAAGTTACTTCCAGTGACGTATGTTTTCTGCCCTGTTTATTGAACCAAATGAGATCCGCCATGAGACGATCAGCTGCTGGCCTGGGCTGAAATCCACTCTCAAACCTTTCTGCGAAGGCTTGAAACAATATCTTATGAGACATTTCTTGGGGGGAGGGAAGGGAGGAGAGGTAGGGGTGAAAAATTAAGGCT